TTGTCTTTGCTTTCAGGGTTTATTTGAAGTGGTTGAATGACTCCTTTGCAGCGGGGAAGCTGTTTGCATAGTGCTGTCAGTGACATCCCTTTCTTGCTGTCTCTGTCTCGTGGAAGTCAGGGTCATGCGAGAGTAGGAGATGGGAAGAGGCTGTATTTTTCATAGAACTTATGCCTTAGTTGGCTGGGTGAATTTTGCTGGTGTTTTTATGTTGAAGAAAAATACTCTAAGGTGGAAAACAAAGCTGTAGTGCTCTGGAGTTAACTGTCAGGGTACGATTTTAATTCGGGAATCTTGAGACCTGTGTGGTCCTTTGTTGTTAGTGCATGCTTTTCCTGCTTTTAGGTCTCCTGATCAACAAAGAGCTACAGATAAGGATCTTATATTTTTTGCATGAAAAACAGTGCAGTAAGAGTTTGATGAACAGACACTTTTATAATAAAACCCTTCTGTCTCATTGAAACTGTAGATTGCTAGCGATTACATGACACTGAACAGTTTGCCTTTCAGTATTATCACACAGTGACTTAAGTGTGATGAGGCGTTAGAAAAAATTGAATTATTTTAATTTTACTTTTTCACTGGGTTCTGAAGCCATTGTGTTTTATTTTGAGGTAAATTATCCTATTTATCTTGTCTGCATAAATACCTTTATGAATAATGCAAGAAGCTGGGATGGTAAAAGTAAAAATTACAGACCTGTCCTTAAAAGACAGGATTAACATCCTGCAAGAGCTTATTCAAAACCAACTGGTGCCTTTATTGTACAATACAAAAATGGGCCATTTTTGACCTTTTGCAAAGCCATTATAGTGGAGCGTTGCCAGATCCATTAACAATTCTGTACTAATGACAGTTAAATAACCTAGTGGGGTAAAAGCAGGCGATGGAACGGTCTGTACAGGATCTCCTTTTACATGGACGCCGTAAGAAGGCTTGAATGAAAAACTGCAAAAATAGTTCCATGGGGGTAAGAGTAGCGATGTCTTATGGTGAATGGTTCCATGAGGGTAAGAGCAGCTATGTCTTATGGTGAATTACAACTAGAAATGAAAAATATTTCACTTAATGCAAAGGTAGTACAGATATTTTGCCAAAGACTATAGAAGCAAATTAAGGTTATGGGAAATTTTCAGTTCCCAAGGAAATGCTAAATTTGCTGTTTCTCATAAGTACTCTGTTTTAGACTATCTAGCTATTAATGCAGATATACAGAAAGCCCATAGAAATTTGAGAGTTAGTGAATGTGTGTTCACTGACTTTTGTGAGCATGGCTTAGCCATGTGGGATGACAAGGTGAAGATGTGCACGTAAAGACTCAGGCTCCTTCATCCATGGTGGGATACTGCCATGCTGTGAGAAGGCAGAGCCTGGAGCCCCGAGAGCCGTGTTCTTGCTCAGCTACCAGGAGCACTGAAGGCAGGCAAGACCTAAAGCGTGGGAACACAGCCAAAAAATGTCCACCCATTGTTTCCGCTGGCCTGTGTCATTACAGAATTTCTGAACAGGTTTTCTTGTGCTCCTTTGAAGAATGATTATAATTTTTGTACTGTTTTCACTCTCAGGTCAGAGGTATACACTTTAATTTCAGCTTAACATAACTTTACGAAGAAAGTGTATGTAGCGTATTCTGGTAAGCATCTGCACACACAAACCGCACACATACGCACAAAATAGTGCTTATATAGCTGAAATCCTATAGCAAAACCCAAAACCAGACTTTGATAGAAAGATATTTATCCTGGAGCAAGTATGCAAATATAGTGCTAGGATCTAAAGATGGAAAAGCAAAGATGAAGAAAGGTGAATTGATGCTAATTCTCTGAACTGGCCATTATATATAGCAACATATTCCTATGCAGAAAAAGTCCTCAAAAAGGTGTTTTCAAAAGCCATAGTATGTCCAGATGGAAATGATCTATTAGGTGAACTAAGTAATGTCACAGTATATGATACATCATTTTATAAAGCTGTTATATGCAGTTCCCTTTGTTATTACGAGCATCTTGGATCATTCTGAATTTCTAAAACAAATCCGTAATATTTTCCTATACCTGCAGAGATATGTTTATACATCTGCTACAAATAATGCGCAAGACCACAGGAGAAGCTTACAGACCTAATCATAATATTTTCTCCCCTTTTGCTCTTTATGTACATCATTTTAAGCATGGGAATAAGAAACTGCAATGTATTAGACAAATAGAGAAGCTGCTAATTTTTTCCCGTTTATCCTGCTCTTCATGCATATCGTATTACATGGTGCTGCTAATGATGTGTTGCCAAAGGAATACTAACTTGCTGTAGAGGCAGGGGAAGGGTTGCTTCCCCATTCCCCTCCCAGCACCATCAGCCCAGTCCGTCTCCAGCACGCACACACACACGCATGCAGGAGAAAGTTGGGCTGAGGAGCAAGGAGTGCTGAGTTTCACCTGGAGAGGAGGAGGAGCAAGGCAGCTCCCGTAAGCTGGAAATAGCTCTGGGAGAAAAGAGGTAGTGGTAGCGAGCAGAGCTTGAAAGATTTTTTTACTAGTTGCTACTGCATCGATGGTGTCTTTCATGGCAGATTTTCCCAAAGCAGCCTGCACAGCACCTCCTTTTCCCTTGCCCTCTGTCCCTGGCGAGGGTAGGGCAGTGCTGGTGTAACTCCGCTGGTCTGGGGAGGTCAAGCAAATAAAGGAAGAACCTACACAACTGAAAGCGAGTCCTGTTTTTCCAGCTCTGCTGGTTTAAGAAATTGGTTTGTGTCTCCCTAAACATCAGTGGACAAAAACTATATACAGGTATGGTACTGCCACAATGAAGTCATCTAGGCTTGAAATAGTTCTTATGTATTATTTTACTTCTCTGACATAATCCAGAGAGACTCATACACTTGACACTCCTCTTCTTCCATTAGTAAACTGGTGCTTAGTTTTGGTATCCTGGCAGAGAGGCTTTCTGAAAAGTAATCTACCAGTCAATTAGTATCCTACACCATGAGCCCAAATCAAATATACTTTCAAAAGGGCTCAAGTTTAGAAATGAACTTCAGGAAAACTCTATTGATTTTGTAAATTAAAACTGTAAAATTGAATGGATAGAGGTCCAGTACGGGACTGACCTGAGGAAGCAATCTTTAAACAGGAACATTCTCTGATTCAACACTGGGAAAGAGAAGAAAGCAAGAAGGAGGATTCATTTGCAATTGACCCGCAATAGCAAAGTCATTCACTTTCCAAATAGGATTAAACTGGTTCCATCAGCCATGACATGTGAAAAGATCATGGTTATAAATTCCATTTGCTGTAATGAATTGAAAGTGTCTGAGTTTGCAAGCAGCACTCATCGTTGATGGACAGCTAGATTTGTGCAGTGTTTTAACACTAAAATTAGCTTCTACAAAATAAAAAGTACAGAAAAGGTGGCAGCAGTGACAGATTTTGAAGCATAAAAAAATTGACTTTATTGTTAGATGGAAGCTGAATAAAGCTAGAAATAAATAGTGGGTATAACCATGCTACATAGATAACTTGCATCATTCTTGAGTGAGGGCGAGCACAAAACTGGAAAAAGGCATTTGTTTAGGTTTCTTAGCCATATTTCAACAAGAATAAATATTGTTAGTTAAATGAGGAAAAATCGAACTTTTCTATGGTATTGCTTGTAAGATGTAAGAAAATGGAATTGTATTGAAGGATACTTCATTCAAATCAATCTCAACATGTATCGACATGACTCCACTGCAGTCCTGAAACCATATTGGTGTATGTACTTTGTAAACTGAGAGAAAAGTTACACTCTGTGGTTCCTTCATAACCTTAACTCGGTCTTGCATCGGGATCATGAGGCATTTGTACTTCGGTGCTTGCAGAACTAAATGTAGTGTCAGAACCTGTTTTGCCCAAATTTGTGTATTTGGTGTACACAATTTTATACATATTTTAAATGTGCTGATTGCCAAGGAAGAAATCTCAATGGGTGAAAATGGCTAATATTTGTGAATAAGTTGAGATTCATTTTAATTGATAAGGTATCCAGCTGAAAACTGTCCAAGACTTAAAAAAAAAAAAGAAAAAGCTTGAGCTAAACAGAGGAATGAAAATATAATAGGTTCTTAAATTACTGCAAGGTTAACATATAATTAATTTGCTAATTTTAATTACAACCCTACAAAATGTGCTGAAAAATGCTCAAAGGGGAGAAGCAGCCAGGTGCCAGCCGTGATTAACCAAGGTTACTAGCAATTATGAGGTCTCTATTAACCACGTTAGAGAAATTTTAAGAACTCCTTTATAAAACCAGCACATTTATTGAAACTCAGCAGGGTTTTAATCTTGCTGTGCCTTTCCATTGCTACAGACTTGCTGTCATTTGCCTCACTCTTTTCCAGCTAAATGTTTTATTGCAGCTGAAGCACGGACTGCTTTTTCTGTTTGTCACACACTATTATACGTGTACTAGGTATTTATTTTGTTCATAGAAACAAAAGAGATGAAGTATTGTTTGCAAAGTGCTCTGAGCACCTTAAGTGCCAGATAGCTGCAAATATCACAGCTGAACACTAGAAACACAAATCCTGAAGAAAATGCTTTTTCTGTCCAAGGTGTCCTGGGACATGCAGTTTGTGAAGCAGGAATATTGCTGACACTGCATTTTTGGTGGAGAACCTGCTCTGCAATGCTTTATATGCACAGAGAAATGTAACTTCTGAGTTAAAGAAAAACAAAGAACAAAAAAATCTGCATGTTTGCTTTGCATTTTAAACAAATCATGGTGTAAACAAATGTCTTGTGTGTATCGAATTCCGTGATGTATTATTGTTCTTTTTTATTGTTGTTATGTGAGTCATGTTTTAGTGTCTGGTGTTTGGAACCGTAATAAACCTTGATCCATCTATTAAACGAATACTTTAAAAAAAAAAGAAAAAAACAGCAACATTAAAAAAAAAAAACAAACCTAAAGCATTGGTGTCAAAGGAAATTAATTTCCTGGCTGGCTTGTGTTTTTCTCTGAGGCAGATATTGATGAGTGTGCAGAGGGGATCATTGAGTGTCACAACCATTCACGCTGTGTTAACCTCCCAGGGTGGTACCACTGTGAGTGCAGAAGCGGTTTCCATGACAATGGAAGCTATTCTCTTTCCGGGGAGTCCTGTGTTGGTAAGCAATGATCAGCATAGCGCTTTTTTTTTTTCCTCCTTCTGCATGGTGTTTATAAAGTGACTATTGAGACACTGTCCTGAGCAGTTACTGTGTTGAAGGCTCAAATGAGAATGCAAGCGAGCGTGTCTGTGTTTGTCAGCATCCCCAGCCACGCAGTGTGGGTGCTAGTTCAAGACGCGTCACATTTTTGAATGGTTATTACAGGAGGGAGGCAGCCAGAGATCCAAAGTGTGACTTACTGCGCTTTGCCATTTATCGTAATAAGTTGCTGTAAAACCTGAAGTGAAAGTAGGCTTTCTGGGGAGCATAATAGGCCACAAAAGGGAAAGATAATAAGTTGCTGTAAAACCTCTGAAGTGAATAGGCTTTCTGGGGAGCATAATAGGCCACAAAAGGTAAAGAGTTGGTTTTCCATTTTCAAATTTCAGCAGAGCGATATGAGAACACATTTGGGGTATCTCTGTGTTGCTTTAATTTGTTTCTTTTGCGTTGTTTGGCATCTTCATCATTTTATTTGTAGAATTATACAAATAGCATCAATCACTGCACGCACCATATTTGCAGAATAAAGCCCTAAGAGCATGAACGGAGAGGAATTTCTAAAGGGTGCAGCGGAGTTTGTCGTTTTTTTCTATGGGAGGACAAAAGATGAGGCTTCCTGAGGATTTGGTGCTGGTTCTTGCAATCTGGGTGCCCTTGACTGGCCATAAGACTTTGTGTGCCACTACAGCAAGTAAGCAGACATAAAATCATAGTGAAGATTTTAATCGTGGCTTACCTCTGCCTTACGATTTTCCCACCTTTTTACTTATTCTTAGAAGCCTTATACATAATTTCTATATGATATTGTATCAAATGAGTTTAAAACTATTTAGAAAGGATCCCATTCTAACTTCTGTAGAGATAGAGATCAACTTTTCCTAGTTCTATGTCCTTTCTTTGGAATTGCAGTTACTTAATCTCTATTCAGTTCTGTGAGTTTTCTGTAAAACCTTTTCTGCTTCTCCTGTGAAAGACTTTTTTTTTTTTTTTTAACACAGTAAATTTCGTTTATCATCTCCATGGGTGCAAAAGACTCCTTCTAAGATTTAAAGTATACAATTAAAGTAGAAGTTAAAATAAAAATTTGTAATAAAAATATATACATTTACTTGTAACTTATAACAAACATTCCCATCTTTTATAAATACTGGCTATTTAGAAGTCCTTGGGATAAGATAGCAGAGGAACAACAATGCAGAGGAAAAAAATGCAGAGGAGCAACAATTGTTTTCAAAACCAATATTTTGTAGATTGTCCAGCTATATTAGCTTTTTACATATTGTCCTAAGCTGATGGGGAGCTCAAAAAAATCACAGCAGTGAACTTCATTGGGGTGGCTGTGTAAAAAATGGCAAATTTTATAGCATTTTGTGACTTAATAAATAAAACACCACGTGAAAGCCATGTATTTCTAAAAAGATTCCCAAATGTTAAGAGTTCTCCTCTGGTTTATTTAAATAATGTAAAAGGAGTGACGGAGAGAGCAATGTTGAAAATACTTGCTTTGTGGGAAGTCAAAGCAACATGACATAACCTTCAAAAAGCCCTGTGGCAAGTGGGGATAAGGGGCATTTGTAGCACTCTTGATGCCTGCTGCTTGCATGGGGAAGCCCACCCCTTGTCAGGCTGACCTTACGTAACTGTTTTGGGACAAAGAAGATCCAAGGCTCAGGCTGGTCTCAGGAGAAGACAGGTGCATAGAGAGGACTGTGGTTTTGAATGGCCTACAGCTAGGCTCAGTTGCTGAAAAGGTCAGTATTGCTTGCATTGCATCGCTTTTAAAAGGAAGGGCGCTTGGCTACCTCACCGCAAAAAGGAGCCCAAAATGTTCTGTATTCTGTGGAGATCGAAGGGATGAGTTTTTGTGAAAACAAACTGCCCTCGTTTTGACCTGCGCGGCATGCTAGAAGTTCGTAAGGTGAGGTGCTTATCTTGCCATATGCAAGTGGTAAACAGAAAGTGAAATTAGCAAGGTTATTTTAACTAAATAGCTTTTCTGAGCCATCTGCTGCAGGGTACTATTGAGGAAGAGAATAAACCAGTTTATTTTATTTCATTATACTGGTTAACCAGTTAAAATTAATTGAAAGATTCTGCTAACCCATATTGACAAAGAAATTTCAAACCATGATGTTTATTTTAAAGTGCAACTAAGAACTGGGTAAAATGACAGATAGATAACACTACACATTCTAGCTAAAACTCGGTTTCTTGAACACTGACTTTCATAATGTTACAGAGCTTGTTTGCATGGTGGAGTATTTAGAGTCAGGGCCAGAGTCATTCACCCTATTTCAGATAAAAGAGGGTTCATCTGGTTAGCAACAGCATTTTGTCCTGACATATTTTACGGACTGTATACTGAAATCCTAATGTGTACCTGAGGTGGATTTGGGCCATTGCTCTTTGGTATGTTTTGAAACCTTTCTTCATCCTTGGAGGACAAAACTTGGAGAAAAATAAATAGGCTAAGAACACAAGTAAAAAAAGATTAAACCCTCCCCCCCAAATTAATAATAATAATTATAATAACATATGAAAATCATAAGGCAGTGGGAGGGAGCACTCAGCTCAGACAGATTGCCCAAAGCCCCGGCAGCCGTTTGCTTTTGCTGGCTGCATTTGTGTATCTGTTAGTTTAACCCCCTTTCCCTCCGTTTATGTGTAGGTGGTCTTGGAGCTGAGTCATTGCTTGCAGTGTCTCTGCAGTGCTTGCAGAGCATTTGAAAAAAAAAAACCCACATCTATTTGAGAAGTTCTGTGATATCTCGGTGCTTCTAAAAGCTTTATTCTCATTGACTGTGAGAAAACAGTGGAGTTTGTCACCTGGCAAGGGACAAATGTGTAAATCAATGGATGTGGCAGGGAAGGTCATAATATTGCACCAGAGCCTGGGTAATAAGGATGTATGACTTTACCAGGCCATTTCAACCTTGGGAAAATTCTTTTATTGCTCAAAATATCAACTGAAGGCAGCTTTGAAAAGGGAATATATTTCCATGGACATGCTTTTATAAAAGATGTTAGCTTCATAAGGTGATGGTGAGCAGGTTTGAATTAAGAGAATGTAATTTAATTTCCAGTGGTAGTGTTTTTATGAGGCACTGGCCTTTCACAATATGTTATCAAGAACACTGCTTGCAGACAAAAGACAATTGCTATATTAAGTTGCTACCAAAGTTTGCTTGGCAATTAAAACATGTAGGCTATAGTTGCTAGGTTGGTTGGTTTTGTTTTGTTTTTTTTTTTTCTTTTTCAATAGGAGCTTTGCTATGCTTTAAGGTAAACAAACAAAAATACTTTATAGAGAACTATCAGTTGTCATATGATACATATCCCAGTATTAACTACTGTCTACTGATACCGTATTGAAGCAACTGGTATACATTGTTTTTACCCTGCACTAAGTACCTGCTGCCAAATACTGCTGCCTCATAAGGTAATCATTGAATAAACCCTCACCACTGAATTTTCAGTGATAAACTTTAAGATTATCAGAACCAAAAGAAGGGAAAAACTGGCAAAGAAATGCTGTATTCTGGGCAGTTAATAATGTTCCACAAAGCTCGCTCCTATCTACAGCAGAAAAATAAAAGCAAATGAAGTTATACTTTTTAATCTGCATCTCTCTGTAAGTGAGATGCTTCCAGTCTGTGGAGAGCTGTTCAGACCCTGCAGTGCAGAATTCCTGATTCTGTTTTTTTCATGATGTTTTGTGTTTCGGTGTCTCTACATTGTGACTTGCAAGCACAGAAGGAAGAACAACCAAGGCAGCAGTCCCTGTCACTTGTTGGTTATTTTCTTGTTTTCTTTAAGTGCAAATTTTGTAGGGAAGCTTAACACAGATCCTCCTCCTACCAAAAAGACCACAGGATTCACCATGTATTTCATCCTGAAAGGCTGCGTAGCTAGACCTCACTGCAGGGTTGGAGTAGCTGTGGGGAAATGAAAGCTGGAAAAAGGTAGGAGGCAGCAGCTTGTGAGAGAGAACTCCACATGTGTTAGGCTCCCACAAAAGTTGGGTGCAGCAGTGCTTGAGGGTCAAGTCTGAATGGGTTTAAAATCAATTCCTGAAGCTTTCATATACTCCCTAGTATGCTGTGGTGTTGTCTATTAGCTAGATTAGAAAGTAGAAGAAAAGGAGGTTTGTTCTTTATTTATTTTGCCCCCTTTCTGTGTCAAACAAAAGGCTAGCCATATCCTTTGAAAATCTATGTGCCTGAATTGCTTTTCTATCTATCGTTAGAGAAGCGGTATGTAGACAGAAAGTTTGCGTATGGTACAGAGTATCCAAGACCAACTCTAGAATCTGCTGTTTTACGACTTTCTTCTGCTCATAGAATTTCTTAAAGCTCATAATGTCTGAGTCTGTGTCTGGGGATTTTATCCTGCAAAATAAAAATTATCTTGCTTACTTTCTGTTTAGTAAATTCAGATTCTTCTATTCTGAGAGAAAGTTGTATTGCGTGTCTTCAAGGTAATTGTGTTTAGTCATTTCTATATTTCTAGAAAGCATTAGTAAATCCTATATTCAGAATCTAATTTACTAGGCAATGTTCTTTAATAGACTATTATGTTTTTAGAGAATAAAAGTACTATCATAAAGTATTTTCTAACTAAAAACAAATCTGTTTAGTGATTTTTTTTTTCCTAGACGAGTCCAAATCACTTTGATTTAGAAAGAAGGCAAATACCCTAAGTGACAAGTTGCCTGTGAAAAATGATATGTCAAAACAGTGTTTAGTTAACTTGTACATACATTGGTTTGGGCACCCAGCATTCATTTTTCACATTAACATTATACTGTAATGGTTTAATGTACCATAACAGTTAAAATTAGCACATTAGTAAGGTTCTTTCTTCTGCAACAGCTTATCATGATATTACAGAGCACCACGCCGCATGACTTGTTTGCACACATTTATTAAGGTGCTATAGAAAAGTCATACCATTAAAACCTGAATAGCCTTGAAAACTAAGAAATGAAGTAGCTAGGGATAGGTTTAAAATTTCAGTGAAACCAAGCTAATGAACTTGTGTTGATATGTACAGTCATGCTTGTCTTCTACCCTATTCAAATACAGTGGCCATGGGACCTCTCATGATATCTGAGGCAAATTACTTCTCGTTACAGCCAAAAAGGCTGAAAAAGGAAATTGCATCTCAGGGGATTATCCTGTTCCATTTTGATTCTGATTTCTTGTCTGCCCACGTTACCAAGCTATCTTTATGTACTTTGAGAGTATATTGGGAAATGAGCACATCTTGGGTGGTTTGTTTTCTTTCTTTTCCCCATCCACAAAATGTGACTAGTTGCATTGCAGCTAAAATACATGTGATCAGATACTTGTTGCCGTACATTTGTTTAAAGAAGCACAGATTGGGAGTGTTTGTATCAGTTTTGTGATAGTCCTGTGCAATGTTTGAGGTGGCATGTCTCAGCAACAGTCACTTTGCTGTTGGCTGTGTGTTGTTGATAGAAAATATCATAAGGCTAGCATAGCATTACAAGCAAGTCTCTGATTATGGTCATTTCCATTATATCCTCACTTTTCCTTGAAAATGAGCTGTGCGGAGCAGGGAAGTAAGGCTCTGCCACTTTTACTGGGGTTAATTAGTAGTTTATGCCACAGATTATCTCAACATAATGAATAAGATTGCAAAGTCCTATTCCAGGTGTGAAAATAAGATTGTTTTCACAGGTTGAGAGGATGGATGAAAGAACTAATCCCCCCAAAAGTCAAGACAGACATCTTGTTCTTGTATTCAATGTAAGGGAAGACTATCGAGTCTCCTGGCTATTTCACATATGTACTTGTCCAATGTTCTTAAAAGTTGCTTGATTTATAAATGAATATTTCATCTTCTTCCTACATAGTGTTATTATAATGGGAATAAGATTTGTGTACAGTTTTGCTTTGCCCATCATTAAATGTTCCAGTTTTGGGCCCACATCTTCTGAGAGCAGTTGTGGAAAAGCAAACGGAACTTGAGAGGAGTGTGGGGAATTTGAGCAGAGCAAGGATTTGACTAATGTAAAAATAATGTATATGCAAGAGTCTTATCATACAATTTTCATATTCATTAGAAGATTATTTTGGACATGTTCAGAATTTTAAACTAAGCTAATTTTTCAACACCTAAGTAGACACATTGATTCCTGTTGTTAAGAGAAATTTCACACTAAATATGAGTACTTTCTTCCATGTTTTGCATAGCCACCAACATGCTGATCTCATGTCAATATGAGCAAGTCCATTTGATCTCCATTAAACTGAAATACTTTCTCGAGCTAATAATATGGGAGCATTTGTCTGGGGTTTTTTCCTTCCCCATCCCCTAATCTGGTTTGAGGCTGAAAGAGTAAAAGGGACAAAAACATGTTACGCTTATAACGCCTTTTTCTCAATTTACTGGTAACATTGTCTGTTTGTTATGACTTTTAGAAATGCAACCAGCAACAAGAAAAAACTGCCAAAGGGATTTTCTCAGACAATTAGCTCTATTAAAAGTTCAGCTGGAAATGAGTGCAGTGTCCGAGCCTTTTATATTTGATTAATTACTAAAACTTTTTAAATAATAAATGCTGTAAAATAATAAGTAACGATCATTTACATAAAGAACAAAAAAATATGAGCAAACTGAGTTGCAATTAGGAATTTATGTTCACGCTATGTTACTCAGCTTTGCTTGATTGGTTTCTTTGTCAAGAATGTCCCGTTTACCAGTTTGGGCTGCTCTTAATGGGAGCATCCTTTTTGTGTGTGCTAAACGGAGAACAGCAGTAGCAGTACGTAAATAGGGTGTTCTTCCCTTTTGGATATGTATAACAGATTAAGTTGCCTTTGTGCAGTGTGAACAGGTCTGTAATAGTGAGAATATGAATAATGTTAGTTTCTATAATTGCTAACATCTGGCTTTCCATAAATCTGTTAAATTACATGGAAACAGAATTAGATTTCTGTGTCATAAGCAAAGCAATTACATGGAACTTTGTAGGCAATATGGCTTTATATTCATCTGTGAAATCCTTTTAGTTTTGAACTGTGAAAGCTACCTTTCTAATCTGCACTGTGATCCTGCTACATCCTATATATATATGCTATTCAAGGAGCACTTAATATGGTGGGGAAGAGAATATTGACGATGCTTGGTGAAATCACCAAAGACAAAGTGAATGCTTCATTTATACCTTTGTCTTCAATGTAAAGTACAAGTCAAAGTCTATTGAAAGGAAAATGGGATATTTTTAAGAATATTTTAAGTCTTACAGTAGCTGGTTGGGTATAATTCATTTCATACCAGTTCATTTATAGCTCTCTTCATGGTTTTTACCTCCTGTGATACTCTGGCACTTGTTAAACAACGAACTACAAGTTTTAATTTCTCTTAGTGCAGCGCCTTTTACACCACTGATAGTGAACCTTTCAAGTACTCAGTAGTGCTAAGCTATGTATTAGAGTAATAATGTTATTTTTTGGCAATTGACTGTCAGGGCAGCAAAATACACCATTTTTAGGGAAGTCTAAGCAATGAGCAATTAAATTGTGCTATCAGGCCACTGGGAACATCTCTGACAAAGGGCTGGCCCATAGGTTAGCCTGGGAGTGAAGCCCTTCGGCAGTGTAATTGCCTCCAGCTTCCCTTTGGGTCTATAAGCAGAAGGAGGAACAGGCATCTTCTGGTGGCCCAGGCCCCTGACTCAGTTGTGTAGGCTGATTTTGCATTTGATCAAATCCAAGGGCACTACTGCATTTCCACTTGTTCCTGGACTATTTATGAATTGAAATCAGGTATTTTGCTAACCAGGTCAGAGGGAATTTTGTGATTTTATTGTCATAGAGAGTTTCTTTCAGCAGATTGAGAGAATTTTTGGCATCTTTTAAAACTCTGGTTTTCTGAGGAGATGACTTGTGAACCCATGGCAGATGTCCAAAAAGTAGGGCAACTAGCCATCACATCCCACCTAAATTAGACTTTAGGTAATTTTCTTTGTAAATTCTATTGACTTTTTAAATTTTTTGTTTTAGAAAGGAATTAAAAGTACTCTTGAGTAATATTGAACAGTTACAAATTTCACACTAGCAATTAGGTAATTTTAAATGGTAAGTGTGAGGATTCTTCCTTGTAATTTCTGAATTAACATAATAGTGTCCTGGAATTTTCATGATAGAAACCATCACATACTTCTAGGGGATTTTCTTCTCCAGCCTTCCTCCTACTGTTGCTTACAGTTTTCATTGTTCGTGTTGGAACAAGAGAGACTCACCAGTTTACCAGTATTATATCTGGGCAGTCTGTCAATATATTGTTTAAGAACAGTCCAAAATTATTTTCTGAAAGAAGTACCTGTTTTTCACAATGTGCTTAAAAATCTCATGGCTTTCGCTGCAAGAAAAAGAATCCCTAGATAAATTCATATTGCATAATTATATTTTACCCTCAAAAAGCAATTTTAATGGGATACTGTAATTCACTTTTCTGTAGCGTATAATGATTTTCTTTTGTTAGTTATTTCCTTGTGTCATTGCTAAATCATGCTTTTGCTGCATAGCTTTGTTCTAAGACTTTCGTCCTGTATAAGGTGCCTCTGATTGCTTTCATTTCCTTTTCTTTTTTTTCTTTTTTTCCTTTTTTTTTTTTTTCCCAATTCACTTATACCTTCCAGCAATGGGAAAAGGACGCAATTGACTGCTTCTAGTAAATGTTGATCATGCTAGGAACTTAAGAAGAATAGCGCACTTCTATTTTGGTATAAAATCCAGAACAGAGAGTGGTCTAATTGACAGAAAGTCACTCTGATTGTTTGCTGGTTTCCAGTCACTGGGAAATCACTATACACCCTTGTCTGAAGGTTCAAGTTCATCATAGGTATGTCAGTCTCAGCATTTACAATTAAGCCTGCTGGAGATAGTTTCAGAATTCTTGGTGGAATCAAAACAAACACTGAAGCATAACCTAAAAAAATCAGTGTTTAATGTCTAGCAAGTAAATATGGAGGATATGAGAAAGAAGGCACCCTCTTCCACCAGCAAGGCAGATGAGTAATCATTACTTAATACAAAAATAAAATCTGAAATGAAAAAAATGTCCAAAGCATTATAAATCTGCTGTTTTGCAGATATCGATGAGTGTGCCTTAAAGACCCACACCTGTTGGAACGATTCAGCCTGTGTGAACTTGGCAGGAGGGTTTGATTGCCTTTGTCCGTCCGGACCATCTTGCACTGGAGACTGTCCCCATGAAGGCGGCTTCAAGCGGAACGGGCAGGTGTGGACCCTGAGGGAGGACAGATGCTCCGTTTGTTCCTGCAAGGTGAGATCCAGCTGGTCTGGGTTTCAGGAGTCCTTTAATTCTCTGGGCTCATGTCAGAAGCCCGATATTGCAGTGCTACTGGTGTTGGCAAAAATACTAGCCTAAGCCCAAGGTGCTGAGGCAAAAGGTAAGCTCTGCTGTGGGCATTGAAGCTGTGATGGGGAAATTCTTCTGGGAAGTCATCTTTTTTCTTACTTTGCACAACCACAGGCAGAGCTGAATAATGGCTAACCCTGCTGAGCTTCTACCGTGTCACTCCGTAGTCCAGAGCCACTCGGAGCATTACCCTTTAATGGAATGTGCGGACAATCAGCACACTTACTGGAAATGTTGAAAACTGTTTTCAGTTTCTCTTTCACGTGAATATGCATCTCTCGGGACAAGTACTGTGGTCAGCCATGTTCCTGTTGGTGGTGTTTCCCTTTACTCGGAATACATGTGAATTAACTGAGTGAGAAGGGAGGCCTGAGCATGAGTCAGAGGTTAGAGGACCTAGCAGCAGGCACTTAATTCCCTCAAATGAAGAATGGTGAAGGCCAGCTTTCTCCTCCTCATCCCAGCTTGGCTGGGATGGCAGCTCTCCCACTTGAGCAGTGGAGATCTCTCTGCACCTTCGGAGAAGCCAGGTGTAGTATAAGTACATATACTTTAGAGTTAACACTTAGATCAGTTTTTTTGGTTTTTTGTTTTTTTCCCCTGGAAATTTTCAGTTCTTTTCTGAGTGTGCTAATCAAGTTAAAAGAACATTTGACTCTGGTTTCTTCATTCTTACTAGTCAAAAGAGGAGTGCTGTCGCTGAAATTAGAAGAATTTTAGAAATGCACCAATCTGAGAAATGGTTGGTCTTTTACGGCCGCTTTGACCTGATGCATTTACAGCACTGGTAAAGCTGTCCTTAGACACGGCAGAACACTATTGGCCCTTGCATAAATCTAAGTAAAATGAGATTTTGGCCACTGTGAAAAGCTGAATGTAGAGCATGAGAAGTGGCCTATCAGTCCCCGTGTCTCAATGCTGATGAGCCAGAGAAGCATTAAAGGGTTTGTGGGGGACAAGGGGGAAGAGTTGTTTTGAAGTTGCAAAAAGCTGACAGCCTCATTGTTTCTTTATTGCAATAGTATAACAGAAGGGAAAAGCAAGACTTCAGAGTGAATAGAGCCCGCGAAGTACACTGCCATTTTGGGCTCAAAAGGGAATATGTTCTTGTTAGTTGCTATATTTTTTACTTCAAGTAGCCTCAAGCTCCCTAAAACTCCTCCCTGCAGAAGCTGAAGTGTACAACTCCACTGAATATATATATGAAGCATTTATTGTAATCTTGGGGAACTGGCTGGCTTATGAAAGGATTTCCAGTCAATAGAATAAACAGTTTAATATATGTGAAGACATCTGGTCTGCCTTTGCAGACTTACAACTATTAGTATTCCCATTTTGGATTGCTTGTAATTTGTTTTGTTTGCCATTTCTCATTGCACTTATTTCTTATGTTGAATGTTCTTATTAGTATATGAAAATATACAAAATGATTAACTAGTACATAGATATTTTAAACTAAGCCTGGCACTGTTTGTTGCTATGACTCTTCCTTTATATCTTCCTCACTTTCCATTTTTTTCCTCTGTGAATTAACATTTGCATTTAATTTCACTCCAGTGGCTGCCTTGTTTCAAGAGCCAAATTCTTGTCTATAGAACAGGGAAAACAGGGAGAGCTCCTCCTCTGTCATATCCCAGGCAGGACATAAAGTCTTCACTCAGTGTTTATTGAAATATGTTATTGAAACATGTTTTTATAAATGGTGATAGATTCCGATACACCAGACTACTTCCCAAACCTGCTGCAGGACTCTGTCCTTGTCGTGCAGTTGCATGGAGGGCTGGCCCTGCTTGACCTTTTTGCAGCCTGCTCAGTTTTCAGTGAGGAAAAGGGCAGAGTGTAACTAAATCATTCCTTATACTTCTTACTCAAACTTTGAAATGATCCCACTCACTTGTTTTATCTAGGAGACAAATCTGCATTTCAGATTTAAAATAATATGTTTTCTTTTGGCTTTTCTTTTGTTGTGGTTATTTTAGGAAAGGTCAGATGGATATATTTTGTGCAGTGGCTGAAACGCATAGATCCCATCTTGAAAATATTTTCACTTAAATCTGGTGCAAAGGAAATTAAATACCTTACTTAACTTTGAAGTTCATTAAGTAAGGCTATTTGTGGAGTAGGATACTATGGAATATGAGGAATTATGTTACTTCTGTTGTATGATGAAGTGAAGTGTCATTACTGAAGTACAAGGGATTATTTCAGGGTTTCATCAGACCCCGTCTCTTCAAACCATCCTCGTTCATCCGAGTAAATATAAAGTTTACAAAAACAAATTCTCAAAAATATAAGTTAATACAATACCTTAAGTGTATTTGATGTGTCTGCTACAGACATCTTCCTGAACTCTCGTGGATTTAATACACAAGACTGGTAGAAATTTGATGGCGGGTGGGGAGCTGTTTCTCTCTCCCATGAAAAAAACTAACCCTGGCTGTACGGTCTGGCCATATCTGGGCTTTTGAGTCTGTCCTCTAATTAAGACAACCCTCCATTCCCAGCACTGGGAGCGGGGATGTGCCAAGATGAAGTGTGTTCCTGATGGTGAGAATGGTTTGGTGGTTTGGTTTCTGCAGGGTCCGATTTCTGTCCAAATTGGCTTTGGGGCTCTGTGGAAACTTGAGTCACCCTTTACAGCGATTCCCTTGTGTTTTTTCCTTTGGTAAGAACAATTTTGTGTTTGTACCACTGATGCTTATGAAGCATGTAGACCCAATTCAGTGAGAAAGGTGGGGAGGGAGAGGTACTAATAAGATGCTATATGTTATTACCCACTGAAAGAAAATAAGTTGCTTTCTATATATTTCTCAATTTTCTATATATTTCTCAACGCTACTATAGAGCTGCAAAGATGCAGTGAGGTGTTGTAGCTTAAGAGGCTTTGTGTCACTGCAGTGTAGGGATAAAAATGTTTTTGAAAGGCATGGAACTAATGAGGTTGTAGATAAAGCACAGATGCTTAAAGAATAAAGAGAGTAGCAGTGTATTATGATTACCAAAAGGTCTCTGGCAAAATCGTCAGGCTTTGTCAGTGTTCTGAAATACAGAGAGTAAAGGCAACATAAAAGGTTAGCTGCTCCCCAGAGGTAACAGCACGGAGCTCAGAGAAGCACAGAACTACCAGCACTGTCACCAGCTGAAAGGGGAATTTGAAAACTAATCTTGAAAGCTTAGAAACTGAATCGGAACTAAGCAGACAGGTTATTGTTAGCCATTATTAATCAGCACTCCATTACGGAGAGGAGAGAGCCTGCCACTGTCGAGGGTGTTGGGTTGCCTGGATGCCTGGTGCAACCCCACATGCCTGGAGATCGTCAGCCTGGCAGAACTTCTGTGCTGAGCTGCCGCTTGATGTCTGCCCTCGGCAAGGGATGGAAGATAGTTGTGCTTTCCCACCTGCAAGAATGGAGAGTTAGTCCTAACTCTCCATCAGGGAAGGCTTTTGGCGCTCTCACCACTTGCTGAAAGGGGAGGATGACGACTTTGTTGTTTTGTGGAAAGGGTTTATTCCCAGCATTGCATCTGGACCTGGCCGGACCTGTGGCTAAGGAAACGGGCCACTGCCAGTCTCCCTTACTTTATGATTTACTCAAACTGCTGAGTGAGGAAATAACGCTTGTTTATTCCTTCTCCCACAGCTAAAGCAGCAAACTAGCCACAAGTACAGAATCCTCAGTTGTCTTAGTTTGATACAAAACTGAATAAAGACTGTAGGGCAATCTAGTCCTATGCCCTGTGGTTGGCAAAAGCAGTTCAGATCCATGTTAACCTAGCACGTTTTCTACATTTCTGTAATGCTGTGTTCTCTTCAGCTTTCCTTGTTAGGCATAAGAAATCATTTCAATTATTCTCACAACAGCAAGTAATACTCTAATCAATTCAAAACCATGATGAAATGCAGCAGTGACACTGACTGGCACGGGTATTGTGATTCCCTGATGCTGATTTTGTACGTGTTGCATTGTGGCCAAGACTGGCTTTGCTTAAAAACAAGAGCCAAACACAGACTCCTGCGTCAAAATACAAAGAAAACAACCTCCCATGCTACATGCTGTGGTTATGGCTATTTTGTCTGCCTGTGGCAAAGACATCCTGGGCTGCTCTCACTCATTTAGTACTCACTTTTTGAAAGGATCAAGAGGAAATAAATTCCCTTGCTTTGATAGGTGTCCCTTTCTTTGGTGGCAATGAAAAACCCTTTTTCTTCTTACATCAGATACAGGTTTATAGACTCAGAACAGGGTTCTGGTGAGAATATGGAAAAACTGCAATGAAATGAGTGGAGTTGTTTTCGGAATTGTACAGTTGTGATCCAAAGCAGAATATAGCTTCATTCCTCTCTCAGCTCTCCCTTCAAATTGGCTGCAGGGGACGCTTTGCTTGAATAAGGACTAATCCAAGAATTTCCATTGAATGCAAAAGAAGTTCATGTCAAAACTTTTCAATAACCTCCTCGTTGTTAACTGTGATTTCAATTCCCAGTCTACACCTGGCATAACTGTGTTGGCTCACCTACAGTAAGGGGTATAATTTCAAACATGATAGTCCGTCCAATTTTCATAACTAGAATTAGAATAAATTTGTTTTTCTCTCATGCTTTCTCTGATGCAAAGAGAATATATCCTTTTCTCTTTACATGCAGAAGCAATTCTTCTGTTTATCTCAAACATTTCTGTTTAATGGTCTTTAACAAAATAGGCCATCCAATACTGTAAGCAAATATTTAGCAAAATCATATTTTGGAGAGCCTGTGGCTCTCTTTAATACATGAACAGAATTACAATGGATGATGATAAGTCCATTTAGCTTTAAGATGGTGTACTGTAGGTCCAGATGTGGAACAGAACCAGTAGTGAATTCAGAGTAAAAAATGATTAGTGCCACTGTGATTTTGCTATATTGGTCTCCTGTGAAAATAAAGGGACCACCTCCATAGCTTCAATTTATTTATTCAAGTTATTTTCTTCAGTGGTACAGTCAGTCAAAATAGTGTTACAACAAATATTGCATGTATTAGACTGGCAACTGCTTGAAGAGTTCGTTGATGTAATCAATGAGATATGAAATTGCTTCACTATATTTCTTCTGAGATACTGATTTCTTTTAAATTCAATTAGCTGGAGACAAGAAAACAGTATTCTCAGATTCAGACAGTATTGGATCCATGCACTGATAGAAACTGGGACAATACTGGTATTTCGAGCTATTACAACTAGAAGGGTCCAGTCCTTGTTGGAGGTAACATCAAACACATTAAGAACTTGGTATTTCCTGATATGCCAAAGACATGCCCTTTGATATACATACCCTGTGACCTTATCCGGGTTGCTGTCTGGCAGTTTGTGGTTGACGGCAGGGCAATGTGTCCTCACAGGATGGGAGGATTTTCTGCCGGAGGACAGCCTGCGACTGCGAGAACCCCAGCGCTGATCTCTTCTGCTGCCCAGAGTGCGACACCCGTGTCACCAGCCAGTGCCTCGACCAAACTGGGCACAAGCTCTACCGCAGTGGGGACAACTGGACCTACAGCTGTCAGCAGTGCCGCTGCCTGGTATGGATAAAGCGTTTCAGAGAGGAGCGAGAATAATGATAGTGATTTTTAGCAAAGCATACCTAGAAGCAGGCTCTTGGCTCTCTCTTCACCTGCTTTTCAGACTAGGAATGATGATAAAACACGTACAGAACACCAGAGAACTGAAAGCTACACCATCAGTTTTCCTCTTACTCCTGAATAAGTAGGGTCTAATAAACAAAATGAAACTCTTGACAAAAGCTTGAAAACCTTGCCACTGTATTAACTTTAGCATTAGTCTACTTTTGCGAACTTTTATAAGGTTGTCTGATCTTTAAATGACTTTTTAAAATGTTTTTCACATGCGATGGATTTGGTTGGAGGAGTTTCAGCTTTGAATTGCATCATCTGGTGTACCTGTCTTATCAAAATGGACAATGCAGTTCTTTTTTTTCATTCAGCAAATGGTGGAAAAATGGGGTGCCAGTGCCCCATGGTGAACTTAACCAAAAAAAGAAGGATAAAGAAAACTGAAATTACTAGACAAACATGCAAAATACAGAACATTTCTTTTCTCATTAGGCACTGTAGATTGTTTCCCTAAAGCTTCAATTTTTGCACAGATATACTAATTACTGCAGCAATGAACTTCATTAAAATTATCAGTTTTCCATTTATAGCTGTCTGTGTAACATTGTCTTTATATATGATATTAATCAAGAGGTGTCTGAGCATCAGGAAACAAATTATGTTCAAAGCTAAGTTACTGTTAAGAGATAATTATCCATAATGTACAGCACTAAGTATTGTATTTTGTATTCTCCTAAGACTTTTTTTTAATGTTTGCAAAAGAACAGCAAGAAACATTTTCAGCCACCGGCAATGGCAAATATTAGATGTGACATGTTTTACAAGGGATACTGAGTTTGTGGCTAGCAGTTCTTTGCCTAATTTTATGATTGGGTTAACAAACATACAGAGCTAAAAGAGAGCGATGCAGTGCTACATGTAAGGTTCTGTGCAGTGTGTGTTCTTATCAACATCTGAAGTGCTTACAGAGTAGCATGCCGCAAGTTATTGGAGCCCTTTGCAGGTTAAGTTTAGACACATGGATCCTACAGCAATACTCTACAGAAGTGGCCTGATGATTCTTTCTTCTCCATGTTTCTATCTACTAAACCGTTGTTTGTTTTTTTTTTCAAAACTAAATAATAAAATAAAATGACTCAGTGGAACATAACGGGTGTTACTCTACAATTCCTTTAGGAGTTGACAGTAAAATCAATTTTGGCTGTCGCTAGTTAGTTCAATGTTCAGTGCTTCTCGAATGTACTAACTTACATCCATCTGCAGTGTTAATTTTCTATTTAAACAGTTGCTGTGGTCCTGCAGAGATGTTTATGTGACCAGGCGTAGAAAGAGGGCATGAGCCTGAAAGGCGATCACTGCAAAAATTATAGTTTATGGAAAATATTGGAACCCAGTATTGCTTTTAAAATGCTGCTTTTAAAAACCCCACAGAACTCCTCCTACAGTGATGACAGTAGTGTTGTTCGGTCAAAAACCAACCAAATGATAGTCTGCTACATTTAGGAAACTTCAGCTCAGTATTCAAACATACATTTATATGATCAACCAAACTGAGAGCTGACCCATTAAGTTTATTTCAATTTTAGCAAAATAAAACTTTCCCCTTCAACAGGATGCAAAGTTTCTCGGTACCTAGTAAATGGCAACAAATTCAGTGAGCTTTGCTTCAATTTTTACAGGAAGGAGAGGTGGATTGTTGGCCTCTTCTGTGCCCGAATCTAAACTGCGAGTACACAGCCATCTCAGAAGGGGAGTGCTGCCCCCACTGTGTCAGTGACCCCTGTGTGGCTGACAACATCACCTACGACATCAGGAAAACCTGTCTAGACGGTTATGGAATTACAAGACTTAGCGGCGCTGTATGGACAATGGTGGGATCTCCTTGTACAACCTGCAAATGCAAGGTACGATGGGCAACGTAGAATGGTAATGGAAATGTATTTTGCTGCATAAAGTCAGGGTCACTTTCTGCCCTTGGAAGCTCACATTGAGATCTCGGGGAAGTAAATGAGACCCGAGAGCAGAAGCCTGCAGAAAACCCACGGCTTTTGTGTTTTGCAGGGTGAAAACAAAACAATTCTGTGCTTGTTGAAAATGTTCAGCGCAGATATGTAATACCCTAGTGCAACTTCAAGTCATTCTGTTGGAGAGCCCTTCAGGCGTTCTCAGTATGAATCTAGGCTAATATTTTAATAATTGCCTAATGTGGATGTTCATGAAAATGTGGTTTAGAGCTAGTAGGCAGAGGCAAAAACACTAATAGAAGTTTCACCAGCAAGTACACAAGTAGAAATACATTGCAGCTCAGAGATGAAGGCACTCCCACAACAGAAGTGGGAAGGAAACGTCACAGTTTCTGTTCCCTCATCTCATCAAGATGTATTCAATCCAGTGGCTCTAATGCAGAAATGCAGTCTGTTTCCCCTGTTCCATGCAGTGATGACCCCACTGCGCTAATATCAGAATTATGAAAATGTTGGTTTCGGATATGTAAAATGTTCTTCTGTTCGCTGTGGGAAACCAAGCTGTTGCTCCGGGGCTTTAAATTATTGTAGGTAGCTTTTCTGCCATTCTTTAGAGTTTTTCCTGTTGGTTTGTGTTGGATTTAAAAAAAAAAAAAAAAAAGGAAAAAAAAATTGCTCATTTGGGGATCTGATGGTTGCTGTAGTTTTTAATACATAAGATAGTTTTGTAAATGACTGGATGTTGCAGAAAGGTATTTAACAATGGATTAAGCTCCAAAGCCCTATGGTTTCCCCACCCCCATACATATCTGCCATGAATCCAGAATCTGAATTATCTGCTTATTTCGGACAAACAGAAAGCTTCCCTGCATGGATCCCATCAAAACTCTCTCCATTAACTTTCTTGCATGGGAGAAAACAAATCAAATCATCTTTGTTGCCATTGCTATGCTGTGTTTTATTCTGGGGACCACTGAGTCTTTCACATCCAGGTTTGTAGTTCATGTGTAGTTCAGGCCAGTTCAGTGCTAATTGGCAAAGTCAACCTCCTCAAAAAGCCACCACAGTTGGGACCAATGAGGACACCTTGGGATGATGGCTTAAGCAGATTTTTGTATGCGGTAGATGTGTCAGAGATGCATCTATCTCTGCATGCCACCAGCCCCTTTGCTCTTTGTAACTTGTTCTGTGGAGGTGATTGACACCTGCTTGTTTGTCTGTGCAGAATGGGAACGTCTGCTGCTCGGTGGATTTAGAGTGTCTCAACAATAACTGACGTAGTCAGACTGGACTGTGCCAAGGGAGGAAAACTGATGAAGTTAACACCTGAAACGAAGTCGTATGCGTTGGCATTTTATACAACAGACAATTACCAAAGTCTCCGCATGAGGAAGATGTTTGGGAGTTGCCTTTGGGACCTATCACTATGCTCATCCTTGCTAGCCTTGTCTGGGTGACTTACAGTACAGCGCATATAAGTCAATGGTTGTTAAAAGTTTTCAGTGTTGTAAATCACACACTTTTCCTGTCAAGACATTTGCAAATTGTTTAAATTATTTCATGGGTAAACTAATGCTGTATTTTTGTTTTAATTTGTGTATTGACTACATGATAGAATTCAGCTCTTCTTACTTTGGATCTAGATTTTATGAATAAGACAGCCTGTTGTGATTTTGTCTCATGATATCACATACTTAGTTCCAAGGTCCCTGTCAGATGTATTTATGAAAATATGTATGTATGTACAGTCAAATTGCATAGTACTTATATTTCACAGCTGTCCAACATTTTAAAACATTCAAAGGTATATTTGATTGGACAGAATGGAAGTAATCAAAATAAGTCTGTCTTAAAATTTATAAAATTAAATGCCATGAACTTAACGAAATGGCAAAGAAAGCACTTTCTTCTCCAAACATGCGGAGCAGCAGCGAGATTCCTATAGTGAGAAATGGAACTAAAACCACATTCCACCACCAATTCAACACATATTCAGGAAAGAATCACGGGTCATTATTAGTAATCTGTCTTGCAAGAGAAACTGCAAGTGCTGGAAAAGGGTATAATCCCCCTGGGTTGTGCAGTGATAAAACAGTCGGAGAGCCTTAAGATGATATAATTTAAATTGACTAGGTTAGAATTTGTTTTTAATTATAACATCATTGATGAATTCAGAATTTTTCCTTTTTTGTATTTACAGTAATAATTGATGTCTGCCATTCTCAGTTACTGCTACCATAATGACAAAGTGCAGAAGCACCTGTACCAGCGACAGGCGGGACAGGAGACCTTAACGCTTGGTAACTTTCATTACCCAATTAACAGCTTAGAAACAGATTTTCTCTTTTTGTATTTTATAGCATTCAAAAAAATCTAGTTTTAAATTTACCGCACGCACAGTGTTGTTTAGTACCTAAGTTTAGACAGAAATACAAATTAAAACTCTTAGCCCTATATCGAGGTTAGAGTTTAGATTCTCTTGAGCTAATGTCTATTTTTTTTCCATGAGGCTAGGAAGTTTGCGGCATTAGAACAAGAATATATTTCTACGATGATGGCATCTACAGCTTAAATGTCACCTTTTTAACGTGCTGTTGTGTTTTGTTCTGCTCATTTGTGTAGTGTTTTTTGCTTTTTGTTTATTTAATTAAACACACTGAGTATATGGAAAAGAGTGCAGAAATAAGTATAGTGGCTACAGTTTGGAAAGTCTACATTTGTGAGTTTTTCATAGTTTCATGCAGAAAATGTGAAACTGATTAATAAGAATGAAGTGTGACTATACAGTGAAAAACTTAGTCGTCTTTTAAATGAAGTACTATTATGTTTCTTATAAGGGGACAGTGGCAAAACAATATAAAAGTTACTTGCAATCATTCAGACAACTTTATTTCCATTTTTTAAACAGGATTTGTTTTATCTAACAGGTTTGTGTGATAAAGTTAAATTTATTTTCTTAAAATGCCCCATCATTTTCAGCTACTGATGTATCGACTATATTTGCATTGCCCTAATGATTGTATAATAAGGGAAACAGTTGTGTTTTATATGATACTCAAAGGATGTTTGTAAATCATGTCAGCTCATTTTGTATATCACATTGTAAACCCCAATGGTAATTCAGTTGGATGAGATATCCAGTGGGCTGAGATATAAAGGGGAATGATTTAAAACTTGTGGGCATCTAAATAAACTCCTATGTACAGATTGCTTTCCCTTAGTTTTATTAGCAGAGTTTTAAAACACTAATCACTGTCCTTTCCAGACTTGAACTCGTGGTGTTGCTAAAAGGAGAAGAGTGTTTGCCTGGAGATGTAGCATCAGAGTTGTAAGAAATACTTTGCTTATACTTACTCAGACAAAATCATATATTCCAGTCTGTCACACACACCAATTTCTGAAGCTCTGTGAAAGGGATTAAAGACAGTGCAGGGTCTTAAGATAGTTCTTTTCCCATTTACCTTGTAGTAGTGAAGCCCTCTCCCAGGATGCTTTCTGGAGGCTCCAGACCTTGTTAGGATCGTATTCAACAGGAGCACAGAAGTTCACATTTTGACACTGCACAGACCAATTTTCTTCCAGAATGCAAATGCAGATTAATTCAGTAAAACCCTTTCAGAACATTTTATGCAGCATTATGTGTCATTATCTCCAGAGCGATACAGCTTGAATTGTTTATACAAAGTCAAAATATTGACACAGACCTGTTTGTTTATGTTGCATTTTAAGCAGTTACCCTGACTGTGATGAACTTTTCCTTATGAAGCAATTTGATCACTAGTCACATCACATTTACCTTCAGCGTACTCAGAAGCCACAGGCCCAGCTCAAAGAGCACACTGAGGAGGAAAATTTAATTCACTGTGTTCCTCTGTGACCAAGGTAAGAACTTTCAAAACCTCTTTCTTGATGAAATTCCCTGTTCCCTATAAACCTATGGATGCTACAGTGAAAATGCTAAAAAAAAAAAAAAAAAAAAGTTTTTTAAAAAAATTTTTGAAAAAATCTTTTTTTTTATGGGATGGACCTTCTCTCTGCTCA